ATTCTAATCATAAATTCCCAAAATTAAAATTTCAGGACTTTGTTTCTTGCCAAAAGGTTCCATTTCAAATAGAAACAAGATTGGTCGAAGTCTTTTAATCTGCCTCGTTTACTTATTATATGAGCTTTTATTAGTCTTTATCTTCTATTTTTAAGTTTCAATACAAAATCATTAAAAAATAAATACATTCTAACATTTCTGCAGCTTGATTCCTTCAAGGAGATAAGATGGAAAAAATTACCATCCCTTCTTCTTAGCTGGGGATGATGGAAAGCTGAAATCAAATGCTTTGGTTAATTTTAAATTGTCAGATCTTGATCAGGAATATATATTTTTTTTTAAAGCACGCTAATTGCTTTTGCTTAATCCCAACCTGTACATAACAAAAGAATCTTCAAGAAATTTCAAAAGTTGTTCAAATTCACTCCTTTTGGAAAACCGGGAAATTCAAATGTTCGATAAGCCATATCTGTGTCTCAGCCTCCCAAGAACGCAAGGGCGTGTTGTTAAAATTCTGAGCTTACCTTAGAGTTTAGCCTTGCTGGCATTCGCAGCTTTGATTTCTGAAGGTGCAAATATGAAATGTTATAAGCTAGACAATTACAGTTCGCACCTTGAATCATTGATTGGGCAACCTCTCAAGCCGAAGCGAGACGCTGTTATAGATAATTTCTTAAAGAACAGAAAAGTAACTTACTATTGATTCCCGAAGCTCGCTTTTTTTATTAAGCAATTTTTTTTTTAATTAAGCAACCAACCATCTGCATTGTGGGAACAGAGAGTAAATTATCCTACCCCAATATTCTTAGAAAATAATATATATGACTAGCACTCTTGGAAAGAAACCAAAATATGCAGGATGTTATACTATCAAAACACGTCCATTAAATATTTTACTATTAATCAGACACAACCGAATACGATCACTTTGGAAACTGCGAGACGGCGACCAGCATCAAATAAAACAACACTGCATCACAAATGCCAAAATAAAATATGTAAATATAATTTAAAGGGTTCACAGACAGCGTGAAGTTTCCCCAGAAGACCAAATTTGGAGGCGCCAAAAATTCGAATACCGCCAGTTATTTCAATTTTGCTAAAAGCTGCCATTCTCCAGTTGCAAGGCGGGGGAAATAGATGTAATTTTAGTGAAAATTAACACCCTGCTCAGCCCTGTAGCATTTAGAGGCAAATCCAGAGCTTTTCAGCCAAAACAAAACAAAACAAAACAAAAAATAGCTGGACGATGCAATACATGAAATGGATATTTTGGGTAGAATAATTTGCTAAGAAAATGACTTTGGTTTTGCATAATGAATGGGTGATTTCCTAGTCCCAGATAAAGCCAGAATATGAAGCTAACTGGTGAGAACTGATTGTACAGAAACTAGAGAGGAGATGGGGCAGCATTGAAGATGGATGGATGGATGGATGGATGGATGGATGGATGGATGGATGGATGGATAATAGATATAGATAGATAGATGATAGATAGATAGATAGATAGATAGATAGATAGATAGAGAGATAGATAGATAGATCTGTTTCCCCGAAAATAAGATCTCCCCTGATAATAAGCCCAATCGGGCTTTTGAGCGCATGGCAATAAGGCCAAGTGCTTATTTCAGGGTTCAAAAAAATATAAGACAGGGTCTTATTTTCGGGGAAACACAGTAGATAGATAGATAGATAGATAGATAGATAGATAGATAGATAGATGTTAAATAGAGAAAGAAAGAAAGAAAGAAAGAAAGAAAGAAAGAAAGAAAGAAAGAAAGAAAGAAAGAAAGATGATGGATGGATGGATGGGAGAAAGAGAGAGAAAGAGATAGATAGATAGATAGATAGACAGACAGACAGACAGATAGATAGATAGATAGATAGATAGATAGATAGATAGATATAGATGGATAGATAGATAGATAGATAGAAAGATAGATAGATAGATAGATAGATTATAAACATAGATAGAGATGGCTAGATAAAAGAGCGAGAGAGAGAGACAGACAAACAGACACATACATACATACATACATACATACATACATACATACATACATAGATGATAGGTAGATGACAGATAGATGATAGATAGATAGATGGTAGATAGATAGATGGTAGATAGACAGACAGAGAGAGAGAAATAGATAAATAGAGGGAGAGATAATAGAGAAAGAGACAGCTAAAGAGATATAGAGGGATAAATATAGTTTATATGTGTGTGTGTGTATATATACACACAGAGAGAGAGAAATAGAGAGAGAGAGAGAGAGAGAGAGATGGGTGAATGAATGAATGAATGAATGAATGAATGAATAAAGTCTGCATAATGACACGCACTCCGTACCCTTGCCAATCAACATCATCGCTGTCCACCATTTTGAAAAATCCTCGCCTTGGCTGGCTCCCTGTGCCCCTGCATTATTCTCTTAAATTGGCGATAACCCCCTCACCTAGCCCACTGCCCTAAAGGGGGAAAAATGGGGAGGAAATTGATTTTGTATCCATCAAAATCGTCCACCCACTCGCACACATTTTCCTCCCCCCATTACAGGCCCCCCTCAAGCCGCATGGAATGTTCCAGAAGTGCCTCCCCAAATGCGGGGTTTTGGGGAGTCTTTGAAGGAAGGCGAACCCAGAAAAATCTCGAGAAAAATAACCCCCAACAGGCAGTTTGACGTTTTCGAAACCTCACGAAATCAAAATTAATTTTGGATTCCCGCAGCGCATTAAAATATCCAAATTCCAATGACTGCCAACTGACAGGGATTCTCACAGCTCAAAGGAGGGTTTTTCTCACAACAGCGACAATCTGAGAACCCCCAAAACTCTATTTTAGCTTAACGGGATTTGGGGGTTCCCATGGCAAGCAGGGTCAAAAAAAATGCCACCTTTTGCGAATAAATAAATTAATTAAAATTAGGGTATCCTGAAACACCCAATCTCCAGAATTAAAGGCCCAACGAGTTAGTTTGTGCCCATTAAAATATTTAAGATTAATTAATTAATTAAAATTAGGTGTCCTGAAACGTCCGGTCTCCAGAATTAAAAGCCCAACAAGTTAGTTTTGTGGCCCATTAAAATATTTTAAGATTAATTAATTAATTAAAATTAGGGTATCCTGAAACGCCCGGTCTCCAGAATTAAAAGGCCCAACAAGTTAGTTTTGTGGCCCACTGAAATATTTAAAAAAATTAATTAATTAAAATTAGGGTATCCTGAAACACCCAATCTCCAGAATTAAAGGCCCAACGAATTAGTTTTGTGGCCCATTAAAATATTTAAAAATAAATAAATTAATTAAAATTAGGGTATCCTGAAACGCCCGGTCTCCAGAATTAAAAGCCCAACAAGTTAGTTTTTGTGGCCCATTAAAATATTTTAAGATTAATTAATTAATTAAAATTAGGGTATCCTGAAACGTCCGTCTCCAGAATTAAAAGGCCCAACAAGTTAGTTTTGTGGCCCACTGAAATATTTAAAAATAAATTAATTAATTAAAATTAGGGTATCCTGAAACACCCAATCTCCAGAATTAAAGACCCAACGAGTTAGTTTTGTGGCCCACTGAAATATTTAAAATAAATTAATTAATTAAAATAGGGTATCCTGAAACACCCAATCTCCAGAATTAAAAGCCCAACAAGTTAGTTTTGTGGCCCACTGAAATATTTAAAAATAAATTAATTAATTAAAATTAGGTATCCTGAAACACCCAATCTCCAGAATTAAAGACCCAACGAGTTAGTTCGTGGCCCATTAAAATATTTAAAATAAATAAATTAATTAAAATTAGGGTATCCTGAAACGCCCGTCTCCAGAATTAAAGGCCCGACAAATTAGTTTTGTGACCCATTAAAATAGATATATAAAATAAATTAATTCAAATTAAGTGTGGCCTGAAACGCCAGGTCTCCAGAATTAAAAGGCCCGAACGGGTCAGTTTCGTGGGGGCCTCCTGCTCCAAATGTCACAGGTTCAAATCCAGAGAAATCCACGACAATGACGACACAACGCGTGATGCCACCGTCCCTGTGATGACACAATGCCACCATAACACACCTGATTTTTTTTTCCCCACATCCCTCTTAAAAGACAGCGATGGAATTTTTTTAAATTCCTCCTAGGAAAATGTCAAAAAAGAAGGAGGGGGGAGGCTCTCATTTTGGGGGTGGGGTTGAGAGGCGAAAGACGCCTTGGGGAAAAAAAAAACCAAATTCCCCCTTCCTCCTTTCGAACCCCACAGAGCATCACCCCATATTTTCCCTACCCACCCCCGTTCTTCTTCCTTCCTTCCTTCCTTCCTTCTTTCTTCTCTCTTGCCTCCAAAAGCCCACCCTGGATATGTAAAACACTGCAGAGAGACCCCCCAACTCTGGCAAAAAAAAAATTCCGGTTTTTTCTTTCCACGTCTAGAGGGTGGGGAGCAGAGGGTGCAAAAAAGGCGAGGAAGAAAAAAACCAGGGTGAATGTAGTAGTAGTAGTACTGGTGAGAGAGAGGACCACCCCCCCAAAAAAGGCCAAAGGGGCGCCCCAGCATCCCAAGCCATGCGCAACCTCCGCCGGCCAGCCCCAAGCATCTTCTGCATCCGTCCGCGCGAGAAGGAGGAGACCCCCTTCCCGGTGGGGCCAAGAATGGGGAGAGAGGGGAGGGGGCTGTGTTCCAGAGGGGGGATCGACAGCCCGGTGGGGGTCAATGGGAAAACTGGGAAGACCCCTCCCCGCCTTCGCGATTCCTTCTCCAAGGGATTTTTTTTTTCTTTTTGCGCGCTCCAAGGATTTTGCGCTCAAATCCTTTTTTGCAACCCAGGATTTCCACCAGGATTTCCCCCCCGGGGGTGGGGTGGGGGCTGTGATGTTGGGGGAGAGAAGGGGAGGGTCCCCCCCGTTGCCCACCGCGGCGGCCATGGCGGCCCTTCCCCATACAGGGTAAAAGGGGGGGGTGTCTCCCGGGCCAGGCGGATAGATGGCTTGAGCATCCTTTACGCCCGACTTACCTTCTACGGAGGCAGCCGCCGCGGGAGCAGCAAGAGAAGCAGGAGCCGGAGCGCACCGGGTCCTGGCGAGGGGTCGCGGGTGGGGGCGGCGGTGGGGCTGGGGGCGGGGGCGCCCCCATAGCGAGGCGCTCTCGGGGGGCTTCTACGCGGCCATCAGCTCCGGAGGTTGGAAGGAGAGGGTGGGGGAAGGAGGAGGGGTGGGGGGGTCGCAGGGACCGGGGGTGGGGTGGGGTGGGCAAGAAGGGGAGGGGGTCCTCTCGCCGGGTCCGGAGATGAGGCGGTGTGGGAGGCGAGGCGGGGGTCTCTCCGCCGAGCTCGGCCGGCCGCCGATGATGCTGCCTCCGCCGCCCGAGCGCGGGGAGGAGACTGGCGCTGGAGGCGGGGAGGGGGCGGCGAGCGCGGGGAGCCTCTCCGACCGCCCCCCCCCTCCCTTTTCCCATCCCAGCCCCTCCGGAGGAAGGGGGAGGCAAGGGGGAGCCTCCGCGGCGGGCGCAGTCTATCGGAGGAGGAGGAGGAGGAGGAGAGAAGCGGGCGCTCTCGAGGGTCCTGAAATGAGCCCATGAGAGAGAGAGGGTGGGGGGGTAAAAGAGAGGGGGGTCTCCCCGCCTGCTCCTCCTTCTTAGGGACTAGCCGCTCTCCCCCTGAGCTTAAACCCCCCACCCTGGTTTTTAAGGCTGCCCGTGGTCTGGATTGGGGAGGGGAGGGGAGGAGTGGGGGGGGTCGTCCCTCCTCGGCTCCCTCCCCCTCCCCCCACGAATCTCTCGGCTTCCCCGCCGCCAGGAGATTCCCCTCCTGGCACAGATCTAGATGGCGGGGCAGGGTGGGTCCCAGCCAGCCAGCCAGACCGTTCTCCGCCAGGTGTTCGTGTCGATTTGGGAGATTCTCGGATCCCACCCCGGGGGGAGTTAGAGATCCCAAATTTCTCCTTCAAGATCTACTTTCTTGTTGCTTGGGAAAAGATCCCCTCCCTCCCTCTCTCTCTTTCATCTGTCTATCTATCTATGTCTCTCTTTATAATATATACTATATCTATGTCTCTCTCTCGATCATCATTCTGTCTCTCTCTTTATCTATGTCTCTCCAGTATATATATATATATATAATGTCTCTCTATATATCTATGTCTGTCTGTCTGAGTGTCTGTCTGTCTGTCCTCTCTCTCTCTCTCTCTCTCTCTCTCTCTCTCTCTATATATATATAATATATATATAATGTCTCTCTCTCTCCCTCCCTCCTCCCTCTCTCTCTCTCTCTCTCTCTCTATATATATATATATATGTCTCTCTCTATCACTATCGCTCTCTCTTTATCTCTCTTTATCATCTCTCTCTATATATACATGTCTCTCTATATCTATGTCTCTCTCTCTCTCTCTCTCTCTCTCTCTCTCTATATATATATTAATATATATATATATATATCTGTCTCTCTCTCTCTGTTTCTCTATCATCATCTATCTATCTATCTATCTATATCTATCTGTCTGTCTGTCTCTCTGTCTGTCTCTTTCTTTCTCTCTTCTCTCTATATCTATCTATCTATCCATCCATCCATCCAATCATTTCCTTATTTCTTTATTTTTACGAGTTTTTTTATTTTTTATAAAAATGTCACCTCAACGCGTGAAGGAGTGTGGCCCCTGGGCGCCGGCCATGCCTTCCCGTACAAATGAAACGGAATCCGATTAAACAATTATTATTACATGCCATCCACTTAACGTATTTCCAATAACAATGCACATCTGTTTATTCTTTGTTGAATGCCTTTACCGCGCCCTCACCTCTCAAATCACTCTGGGCGGCTGGCAGCCCAATAAAATTAGAAACCTTAAAAAAAGAAAAGAAAAGAAAAGAAAAAACACCGACTATAAAATGACAGATCCCTGACTTCATGGCTTATTTTTGTGTGTCTGTGAAAGTGTTTGTCTCTGTGTGTGCCCCATTGCACAACACGGCCTCGAATGATAAATGCTCCTGATTTAAGCAAATTCTTCTTCAAAAAAAAGAGGCAGAAGCCTCTTTCTCTCTTTCTCTCTCTCTCTTTCTCTCTTTCTCCCTCTTTTTCTCTCTCTTTTTTTCTTTCTTGCTCTCTTTTTATCTTCCTCTCTCTTTCTCGCTGTTTCTCTCTCTCTCTCCCTTTCCTCTCTCTCTCTCTTTTTCTCTTTCTTTGCTCTCTTTCTCTCTTTCTCTCTCTCTCTTCTCTCTTCTCTCTTTTCTTTTTCTTGCTCTCTTTTTCTCTCTCTTTTCTCACTGTTTCTCCCTCTCTTTCTCTTTCTCCTTTTCTCACTTTCTGTCTCTCTTTTCTCTCTTTCCTTTTCTCTCTTTTTCTCTCTGTCTTTCTCTCTCACATTCTCGCTGTTCTCTTTCTTTCTCTCTCTCTTGCTTTCTCTCGTTCTCTCTCTCTCTGTCTTTCTTGCTCTCTTTCTTGCTCTTCCTCTTTCTCTCTTACGTCTTTCTCTTCTCTCTTTCCCCCTTTCTCTATCTCTTTCACTCTCTTTCTCTTTTTTCTTTCTCATTCTTTTCACTTCTTTCTCTTTCTTCGCTCTCTCTCTTTTTCTCTCATTCTCCCTTTCTCTTTCTCCCTTTCTCTCCCCCACCACCATCTCTCTCTCTTTTTCCAGTAAACAACCCCCCTCTCTCAAGCAGAAGCCCCCATCCCATAAGCAAAGAGACAGCCCCCCCCACCCCAGAGAGAGATAAGAAATCTCAACCAAAAACCTGGCTTATCGGCCACACCTTCCCCCATCTTAACCTTGAGCCGGGTTAATTTAGGTTTAAAATCCTTTCCGCAATAAACTTTATGGAGAGTTTTTAGCACGGTCCATAAATTTCCACCCAGAACCGAGACTGGGAAGGGGTTTACTTAAAGGGGAGGGGGCCATGAAACCCCCCCCAAGTTTTAATTGTTCCCTGCAGAGAAAAGTTTTCTGAAATGCATTCATTCAGCGGATTCGGCCCCGTTTTAAGATCTTTCTCGCGACCGTTGTTAAGCGAATCACCGCCGTTGTTAAATTAGTCGCACGTTTGTTAAGTGAATCACCACCGTTTTTAGTCAGCCGGTCGTTAAGCGAATCCAAGTTCCCCCCCTTGGACTTTTGCTCATCAGAAAGCCACCGAAGGGGAAATCACCGTCATAAATGCGAGGCAGCTGCCGAGCGTCTGAATTTGGATCAAGGGACCGTGACTGCGGTCATTAAGTGTGGGCGGAAAAAAGTTACAAGTCCTTTTTTTTCCCCCAGTGCCATCGTAACTTGGAACGGTCACTAAGTGAATCATTGTAAATCGAGGACTCGCTGAATTATATACAGTTTTCAAATCCAGCTAGGAATGCTTGTTTTCTCCATTATTTATATGCACCTGTGAGGCTGTTTTAATGGAATTAAACCAAGTTTAGTTTCGTAAATTATTCAGGAAAAAGGCAAATCTCTTCGTGAGAAAGTAGAGAGAAAAAATGAATTTTTGCTGCAGGCGAGGCTGAAATAAGCTTCTGCAAAAATCCGACAGACTCTCTAAGCACCCCTTAAAATATATATCAATTTTAAAGTTTAAAATAAAATTTTGAAACGCAAGTAGCGTAGTTGAAAACTAAAACAATAAAACTGATTGAGTGTATAATGTATTGGAGATACAATTTGTTCATAAATAAATATATATTGTTTTTTTAATTTATTTTATATAGAGAAAAGAGGGAGAGAGACTCTATAATAATATTATGAAACAAGCATTATCTAAACAATATGACCTAGAATGCTTTAAGAATCTCTTGTAATTTTAGCCTTTTTAAAGACATGAGGCACTGACAACTGAATTTGATGGGTTATTGAATAAAAGAATTGAAAGATGGATTAGAGAGAGAAAGAGAGGGAGGGAGGGAGAGAAAAAGAGAGAGAGAGGAGAGAGACAGAAAAGAGAGAGAGAAAGGGAAGAAAGGGACAGAAAAAAGAGGGATAGAGGGAGGGGAAAGAGAGAGATAAAAGAGTCAGAGAGGGAGAGAGAATGAAAGAGAGAAAGAAAGAGAAGGAAAGAGAGGAGAAAGAGGGAGGGAGGGAGAAAAAGTGAGGGGGACAGAGAGAGAGAAAGAGAGGGGGACAGAAAGACAAAGAGAGAGAGAGAGAAAGAAAGAAAAGAGGAGAGAAAAGAGGGATAGAGGGAAGGAGGGAGAAAAAAAGGAGGAAAGAGAGAGAAGGAAAGAGAAAGAGAAAGAAAGAGAGCAGGAGAAAGGGAGGGAGAGAAAAAGAGACAGAATGGGAGAGAGAGAGAAAGGAAGAGACAGAAAGAGAAAGAGAGAGGGGGGGACAGAGAAAAGGAGGGGAAGGAGAGAGAGAAAAAGAGAATCAGGTAGGGAGAGAGAAGGAAAGAGAGAGGAAAGAGAAGGAAAGGAGGAGAGAGGGAGGGAGAGAAAGAGAGAGAGGGACACAGAGAGAGAAAGGCAGAAAGACAAAGAGAGAAGAGAAAAGAGGGATAGAGAGAGGGGAAGGAGAGAGAGAGAAAAAGGGAGTCAGAGGGGGAGAGAGAATGAAAGAGAGAGGAGAGAGAAAGAGAAGGAAAGAGAGAGATATAAAAAAGAGAGGTAGAAAGAGAGAGACAGAAAAAGAGAGAGAAGGAAGGGAAGGGAGAAGGAGAGGCCGAAAGGGGGAGAGAGAGAGAGAGTGAAAGAGAGAGAGAGAGAGAGATTATGAGAATCTGTGGAAAGAAAAATCAGATCGTTGGAAGATCAAAGGATACGGAAAAGGTAAAATACCCTTTAAAGTTTTTAAAATGAAACTCAAATCGTCAGGAAAATACATTCTTTGAAATCTATCCAGCCCATCAAAAAAAAAAAAAGAGCATTAAGAGCTTTAAGAAATTTATCCCCAGATCTGTACCGTTCCTGCTTCCTGAACCTTGCCCCAGCTCCAGGGGACCCCTAGAGGCCATCCAGTCCAGCCTATCGCTCAGGGCAAAAATCCAATTTCAGCCTTTCTGACTGAGGGCAGCCCACCCAAAACGTTGTGAGCAGAACTTTGAAGCAAAATTGATTCCTTTTTATGTGAAAATTCTGCCGACTGTCAGCAGTTCGATCCTGACCGGCTCAAGGATGCCTCGTCCTTCCGTCCTTCCGAGGTCGGTAAAACGAGGACCCAGATTGTTGCGGGGGGGGGCGGCAAGCTGCAAATCATGTGCCTCTATTATAATTGCCCAGAGAGTGTTGTAAAGGATTTATACAGGTAGTCTTTGATTTACGACCACAAGGGAGCCCAAAATTTATGTTGCTAAGTGGGACATTTATTTAAGGGAATTTTGCCCCTGCAGTTGTAAATCCAGGATTACCTGTAGAAGTCTAAATGCTATTTTTTATTTTATTTTTTTCACAAGGAAGAAGCGGTGGGCTCCGTCCAACTCGCCCCTCTGTGCAAAATTGCACAAATCCAGGAAAGCTTTTTCTCCAGCTTGTTTTCCCTGGGGGCTAGAGGGGGGGTCTAGATGGGGAGGGGGTTATATATTCCTTTTTTTCCTCCGCTGGCCTGATGCGAGCTGGCTATTCTTCCCCCAAGCTCTTTTTGATTCCTTGAAAGCTCTGGGTTTTGGAGAGAGGGGGGTTGTTTACTGGAAAAAGAGAGAGAGAGATGGTGGGGGGGGGGAGAGAAAGGGAGAAAAGAAAGGGAGAAAGAGAGAAGAGAGAGAGAGCGAAAGAGAAAGAAGAGAAAGGAATGAGAAAGAAAAAAGAGAGAGAAAGAGAGATGGAAAGGGGGAAGAGAGAAAGAGAAAGACGTAAAGAGAAAGAGGAAGAGCAAGAAAGAGAGCAAGAAGACACAGAGAAGAACGAGAGAAAGAAAGAAAGAGAGAGAGAAAGAAAGAACAGCGAGAAAGTGAGAGAGAAAGACAGAGAGAAAAGGAGAGAAAAGGAGAGAGAAAAGAGAGACAGAAAGAGAGAAAAGGAGAAAGAGAGGGAGAAACAGCGAGAAAGAGAGAGAAAAAGAGAGCAAGAAAGAGAAAAGAGAGAAAGAGAGAGCGAGAAAAACAGCGAGTGAGAGAGAGAAAGAGAAAGAGAAAGAGAAAGAGAGAGGGACCATCCAGGGCCGTGCAGGAGCTCCGCAGCCCGTTTCTGGGTCACGGGAGACACGCACGGAGCCCCCAGAGGGGAGGGAGGGGAGGGGGCAGCGCTGTCTCCCCCTTTGGAAGTGGGGGGCAGCTGCCATTTGCCCTCCCTCTTCCTCCCTCCCTCCCTCTCTTTTCTCTCTCCCTCCCTCCCTCCTTCCCTTTTCTCTCTCCCTCCCTCCCTCCTCCTTTCCTCCCTCCCTTCCTTATAATCACTCTTCCTCCCTCTTCCTTTTCCTTCCTTCCCTCCTTCCTTCCCTTCTCCCCTTCTTCCCTTTTCCTCTCTTCTCTCCCTCCCTTCCTTCTCCCCTCCCTCCTTCCCTCCCTCCCTTATACTCACCCTCCCTTCTTCCTTTTCCCTTCTCTCCCTCCCTCCCTCCTTTCCCTTTTCCTCCCTCCCTTTCTTCCTTCCTCCCTCTTTCCCTCCCTCCCTCCCTTATATTCACCCTCCCTCCCTCTTTTCCTTTTCTTCCTTCCCTCCCTCCCTCCTTCCCTTCTCTCCCTCCTTCCCTTTTCCTTCCCTTCTCTCCCCCCCCTTCCTTCTTCCCTCCCTCTTTCCCTCCCTCCCTTATATTCACCCTCCCTCCCTCTTTTCCTTCCCTTCCTTCCTTCCCTCCCTCCTTCCCTTCTCTCCCTCCTTCCCTTTTCCTTCCTTCTCTCCCCCCCTTCCTTCTTCCCTCCCTCTTTCCCTCCCTCCCTTATATTCACCCTCCCTCCCTCCCTCTTTTCCTTTTCCTTCCTTCCTTCCCTCCCTCCTTCCCTTTTCTCCCTCCTTCCCTTTTCCTTCCTTCTCTCCCTCCCTTCCTTCTTCCCTCCCTCTTTCCCTCCCTCCCTTATATTCACCCTCCCTCCCTCTTTTCCTTTTCCTTCCTTCCCTCCCTCCCTCCTTCCCTTTTCCTTCCTTCTTTCCCTCCCTCCTTCCTGCCTTCTTTCCTTCCTTCCTTCAATTTCATGTTTCTTCCCTTTTCATTTCCCTTCTAGAATTGCTTTTCAGGCCCAGCTGATGTGGGGCTGGGGTGGGGGTGGGGGGCAGCTGGAGACGACTCCTGGGCCTGCAGAGGGCCAGCCAAACTGCCTTCAGACTGGACAAAGGTTTTGGGGGGGTGGGGGGGGTTGTAACTCAATCTCCCTCCCTCCCTCCTTCCCTCCCAGGCTCTTCCAGTATCCACAAAGCCCCCTTTTCATAAAGGGAGTTGGGGGGGGGTCTTTGCTGCCTCTCTTGCAATCTCCCGTTAAGGTCTCAATGCCAATCCTTGAGCGTCTAGCGCCCCCTGCTGGCTGCATTGGGCTCACAGGTACAGGTAAAATCCTCCACTTACAACACTTCGTTTAATGACCGCTTCAAGTGACTTAAGGGCTCAATTGTGGTCGTAAGTCCAGGACGGTCTGTACTTTGCTTTAGCTTTTTAACTTTTGCTTTGACTTGATTCCATTTGATGAAACTTAAAACGTATACGGGCACTCCTCGACCACCACAAGAGCCCAGAATTTACATTGCTAAGGGAGGAATTTGGCTCAGGGAGTGACGCCGCCGTCATAACTACGAACCAGCATCCGAGCATCCGAATGTAAGTCACGTGGGGATGGTGACGCCACGGTCGTAAGTGTGAAAAAAGTCCCTTTTTTTTTTTTTTACCAGTGCCGTCGTAACTTCAAACAATCCCTAATCAAACAGAGGAGGATTAGAGTCAAGACCCCCACAAAAAATACCCTTTTTTGCCCCTCCACTTCCTAAACTCCCCCCCCTTCCCCGAGGTTGAACCCAAGTTCAAATCCCCCCACGAATCCTGCAAAACTTTTCTCAATGAACGGTTTATTGATTCATTTGCAAAAAATCTCGCCGAGATCTCGAAAGGTGGTGCGTGGAAAAAAAAAATGTGAGGGGTGGGATGAAAGCAAGGAGGAAGGAGACAAGGAGGGTTGCAACTCGTAACCCTTTTGGAGGGGGGGGCGTTATCCTTTCGGAGGTGGGGGGGGCGCCGCACCGGAGACGGAGGTAAACGTGGTTCAGGCGTTCGCTTCGGGGAAGAGAAGGAATCCGGAGAAAATGCTATCGGAGCCTTCGATGCCCCCCAGCAGCGAGTTCTTCTCCGTGGGCTCCAGCCACACCATCTCGCCCTGGGCCACTCGAAGAACTACCCCGCCGGTCGTCATCTGAAAGGTGTTCAAAACGTAGTCGCAAAAGGTCACCACGTTCTCCGCGCTGGAGCTGCCGCGGCCCTTCTTCAGGTGCAGGCACAGATTGCCGCGCGAGGTGGCGTGTAGGAGAAGTAGTAGATCCCCGGGATCTGGCAAGCGAATTGGCCGTAGCGGCTGTTGTAGTGGTTACCCACGTTGGTGATAACCCGGTCGAAACGAACCGGTTGAGACCGACGCGGGGTAAAAGTGGCACCCCGCGTGGCCGAGAAAGCCGATCGGTGAGACGCTTTGGCATCCCCGGATTCGCCTTTCAGGCCTCGTTCTCCAGGAGGCCCGGGGGGACCTTTGGCACCCGTGGGTCCCCTAGGACCAAATTTCCCTGGGAAACCTGGCATGCCGGGATCACCGGGTTCGCCAGCGTCTCGGTAATCTTCGACTCTTCCAGGTGGACCTAAGAAAAGAGCAAAAAGAAAAAAAAGACGGTGCGGCGGAGAAGACAACAGATGGGAAAGCTTCACGGTGGAACCTACGGCGCTCCTACTTTGCAGGGTTGTCGTTCTGGGTGCACACTAAGGGGTGGGGAAGAGGAGCGGGAACTGTAATGGGTTGAGTGTGAGAATCGACTTGACTTGGAACGGGAGGAAGAGCTGCAGCCAAGGTAGAAGAGGAGAGAGAGAAGAGGAATCTGAGTCCCGGCAGAAATGTACTCGGAGAAAGCGTCGCGGAGGAGATTCTCCCTGGTTCTGAAGAAGCTCAAGGGAAGGAGGGGTTGCTGAGCGGCCAGGGGTGCAAGATTGTGTGGCTGTGAGCTTGGGAGAAAGTAGCGTTGGAGTTCGTTGCGGCTGTCTCAAAAGGAGGGAGGGAGGGAGGGAGGAACAGGGACAGAGACAAAAGAGGGGAGGGGAGGAAGGAAGGAAGAAAGGATGGATGGATGGATGGATGGATCACTGATGATTACCTAGTTGGGTAATGAAATGTCTGCAAGAAAACCATCAAAATCACCAAAAGGAAGGAAGGAAGGAAGGAAGGAAGGAAGGAAGGAAGGAAGGAAGGAAGGAAGGAAGGAAGGAAGGAAGGAAGGAAGGAAGGAAGATCAGAGTACAGAAGAATAGAAAAAAAAATAGAAGGAAGGAAAGAAGGAAGGAAGGAAGATCAGAGTTCTATTCTCTTCTATTCTATAGAAGAATAGAAAAAGAATAGAAGGAAGGAAGGGAAGGGAAGGGAAGGGAGGAAGGAAGGAAGGAAGGAAGGAAGGAAGGAAGGAAGGAAGATCAGAGTATAGAAGAATAGAAAAAGAATAGAAGGAAGGAAGGGAAGGGAAGGGAAAGGGAAGGGAAGGGAAGGGAGGAAGGAAGGAAGGAAGGAAGGAAGGAAGGAAGGAAGGAAGGAAGGAAGGAAGGAAGGAAGGAAGATCAGAGTATAGAAGAATAGAAAAAGAATAGAAGGAAGGAAAGAAGGAAGGAAGGAAGATCAGAGTATAGAAGAATAGAAAAAGAATAGAAGGAAGGAAGGGAAGGAAGGAAGGAAGATCAGAGTATTGAAGAATAGAAAAAGAAATTGAAGGAAGGAAGGAAGGCTGGATAAAGGGAAGGAAGGACTGATTCTCCTCCTCCTCCCTCCTCTCCCTCTCCTTTTCCATCTTTCCCGTCTCCATCTCCAACAGTGTTGCTGTTGCAGTAGACCTTCTCCAAGGTAGAGGGGTGGACTAGATGACCCGAGATCCCTCCCGATCTTTGCCCTTCCTCTGCTTTAGAAGCTGGGATCTGCCCCCCCCCCCCTTTAATAAGATCCTTTTCCTTACCTCGTTCTCCTTTGCTCCCGTCAATTCCATCCTGGCCGTTGGACCCCGGAGCTCCTGGCATACCGGGGATCCCAGGGATGAGTGTGGGACCTTGGCAGCTGCTGGCTCGTGCCAACCATGCTGCGGGCAGCCAGACCATCAAGACCCCGACCAACAGCTTGGCACTGAGCATCCTAGATGGGCACAGAAAGCAGCAGAGGGAAGCTGTGTGACTCGGTTTCTCTAGGACAATCCCTGTCCTTGGTAGCTTCCAGATGAAGGACTTCAACTATCTATCTGTCTATCTATCTATCTATCTATCGATCTATCTATCTATCTATCTATCTATCTATCTATCCTACCTACCTCTCCCTCCCTACCATATCTATCTATCCATCCATCCATCCACCTACCTACCTATCTATCTATCCATCCGTCCGTCCGTTTGTCCATCCGTTCATCCATCCATCCTTCCATCTATCTATCTATCTATCTATCTATCTATCTATCTATCTATCTATCTATCTATCTATCTATCTACCATCTCTCTCTCCCCCTCTCTCTATCTCAATCACCTATCTATGTTCTTCCTGCATTCCATCCATCCATCCATCCATCCTTCTATCTATCTATCTATCTATCTATCTATCTATCTATCTATCTATCTATCTATCTATCTATCCCTACTTACCTCTCCCTCCCTACCATATCTATCTATCCATCCATCCATCCACCTACCTACCTAGCTATCCATCTGTCCGTCCATCTCTCTCTCTCTCTCTCTCTCTCTCTCTCTCTCTCTCTCTCTATCTATCTATCTATCTATCTATCTATCTATCTATCTATCTATCTATCTATCTATCATATCTCTCTCTATCATCTACCTACCTACCTACCTACCTACCTATCTATCTCTCCCTACCTACCTCTACCTACCTACCATATCTATCTATCTATCTATCTATCATCTAGTCCAATCACTTCTGGACTTTCTGCTCCCAAGGTGAGAAAAAAAAAAAGTAAAACTTTGATGAGATCGGTTTGTTGTAACTAGAAATGGCTAGCCGATATTGTAATTTAAAAGTAAAAAGTTGAGGTTTTGATGCTATTGTCTACGGCACCAAAAGGAGTCAAAACCTACTCTTTCTCCCCCCCCTTTTTTTTTCCTATATTTTTCCCTTTCCTTTTCCCTCCCCTAACTTTCCTACTATTTTTCTGGGCATCAACTAAAACGCAAAACACATTTTATTTATAAAATGTATTAAAAAAATTATCAATGAATTAAAAAAAGAATGTTTTTTTTAAAAAGAAAGCATTTTGCTTCTTATCTAAGAGTCGAAGAAGATTCTCAGATGGGCAGCCAAACGTTTTCCAAGAGGGGGAAAAAAAAACCACAAGAAAGACTAATTGCTTTTTTTTTTTTTTGAAAAAGCACTTTTGGAAAACCTGGTGGCTCCTTTTATGGACTCCAAAAATCTATGATTCCCCACTGACACCCAAACACACGTCTTTGCAAACACACACACTAAAAAAGGTCTCCAAAAATATATATATATATTTTCTTACCTGGCCTGTCTTGTTGTCCCTTCAAGCTAGCAAGGGTTGAGTTGACACAAGTCGCCTGTCCGTCCGGTACCGTCAAAAGCGATTTCCTGGATGGGACACGCGTGTGTGTGCACACGCACACACCTCTGGGTTTCGGGCTGCTGACACACACACCCCTCCCTCGTCGTTGTGTTGGCCACAATAGGGAAACTGGGCCGAGCTTCTCCTTTCTGTGGGGTGACCCCCCCTCTCCTCTTCCCGGACCCTTCCTCTGCCCAGCCAGCAGTTTCACATCCATCTTTCTCATGGGTGGGGAACAGGATGCTTCTCGGGGTCTTTTCTGCTACTTCTGCAAGAAAAAAAGAAAAGGGAAGAGAAATGTTCGGTTCCTGGTTTTTTGTTTTTTGTTTTTTGTGGTTTGGGGTCTAATTCTCTCTCTCTCTTTTTTTTTTTTCTTATTCTCTGGCTCCATGGGGGGAGGGGGGTGGGATGGGGAAAGAAAGAGGAAGCTTTTGCAATCTGGACCCCGAGGCTTGGCCATCTCAGAGGAGTTTTAATTTTGCTGGGTGTGCAAGGACAAAGAGTTCCGGTCAGCTAAAGGGTGGGGGGGATAGCGGACAATTGCAAAATAGTTGGAGAGAAAGAAAGAAGAGAGAGAGAGAGAAGGGAGAGAAAGAGAAAAGAAAGAAAGGAAAGAAAAGAGAAAGAAAAGAGAGAGAAAGAGGGAGGGAGAAAGAAAGGGAGAAAAATGGAGAGAAGGGAGAGAGAGAAAAGAAAGGAAAGGAGGAAGGAAGGATAGATGATAGATATAGATAGATAGATAGATAGATAGATAGATAGATAGATAGATAGATAGATAGATAGATAGATAGATAGATAGATGATAGATAGATAGATAGGATAGAGAGAGAGGATAGAGAGAAAGAGGGATATAGATAGATAGATAGATGATAGAGAGCAGATAGATAGATAGATAGATAGATAGATAGATAGATAGATAGATAGATAGATGATAGAGAATGATAGAAAGAGAAAGAGGGATATATATATATATATATATATAGAGAGAGAGAGAGAGAGAGAGAGAGAGAGAGAGAGAGAGATGAGAGATGATAGAGAGATATTTGTTTTCTGAGGGATATATATACATATATACATATATATATATATATATATATATATATATATATATATAATATATATATATATATATATATATATATATATATATACATACATACAGTATATATAGAGAGAGATGAGAGATGATAGAGAGAGATGATAGAGATGATACAGAGAAAGATGGATATAGATAGAGAGAGATGAGATAGATAGATAGATAATAGATAGATAGATAGATAGATAGATAGATAGATAGATAGATAGATAGATAGATGATAGAGATGATAGAGAGAGATGATAGAGAGAGAAAGAGGGATATAGATAGATAGAGAGATGAGATAGAGAGAGATTAGATAGATAGATAGATAGATAGATAGATAGATAGATAGATAGATAGATAGATAGATAGATAGATAGATGATAGAGATGATAGAGAGAGATGATAGAGAGAGAAAGAGGGATATAGATAGATAGAGAGATGAGATAGAGAGAGATTAGATAGATAGATAGATAGATAGATATAGATAGATAGATAGATAGATAGATAGATAGATAGATAGATAGATAGATATTAGATGGATAGATAGATAGATGATAGGCAGACAGACAGATATGGATGATATCGATTGTGTTTGTGTGTGTATCATTTTTAAAAAATATTTTTAATTTTGTGTATTCTATTTTTAGCTTTTAACATTATATAGATTTTCTATATTATTCAATTCTAAACCAAAGCTAATAAACCCGGATTCAGTCAGATTCTTCATTTATTGGGGTGCAAGATCTGGTACCTCTTAAAAAGGGGCCGAACACAGAAGAGAGAACTTGGGGTTCAATTTTTGAATGGCTTCTCCTCAAACCATCCAGGTCACCCAAGTGGGTCATTTATTCATTTACTGTATATACTGTATATTTATATAATGTAATGCCCTAAACCACTGTGTCTCAATCTTGGTAACTTTTTAAGAGGGGTGGACTTCATCTCCCAGAATCCCCCAGCCATTCTTTCATCAACCTTTTAAATTGGGTGGACTCCAACTCTCAGAATTCTCTGGCCATTCTCTTGGCAACTTTTTAAGATAGACGGACTTCAATTCCCAGAATCCCCCAGCCATTCTTTTAGCAATCTTTTAACATGGGTGGACTTCAACTCCCAGAATTCCCAGGCCATTCTTTCATCAACCTTTTAAGATGGGTGGACTTCAACTCCCAGAATCCCCCAGGCCATTCTCTTGTCAACTTTTTAAGATAGACAGACTTCAATTCCCAGAATCCACCAGCCATTCTTTTAGCAATCTTTTAACATGGGTGGACTTCATCTCCCAGAATCCCCCAGCCATTCTTTCATCAACCTTTTAAGATGGGTGGACTTCAACTCCCAGAATCCCCCAGCCATTCTTTCATCAACCTTTTAAGATGGGTGGACTTCAACTCCCAGAATCCCCCAGCCATTCTTTTAGCAATCTTTTAACATGGGTGCACTTCAACTCCCAGAATCCCCCAGCCATTCTTTCATCAACCTTTTAAGATGGGTGGACTTCAACTCCCAGAATCCCCCAGCCATTCTTTCATCAACCTTTTAAGATGGGTGGACTTCATCTCCCAGAATCCCTTTGTCATTCTCTTGACAACCTTTTAAGATGGGTGGACTTCAACTCCCAGAATCCCCCAGCCATTCTTTTAGCAATCTTTTAACATGGGTGCACTTCAACTCCCAGAATCCCCCAGCCATTCTTTCATCAACCTTTTAAGATGGGTGGACTTCAACTCCCAGAATCCCCCAGCCATTCTTTCATCAACCTTTTAAGATGGGTGGACTTCATCTCCCAGAATCCCTTTGTCATTCTCTTGACAACCTTTTAAGATGGGTGGACTTCAACTCCCAGAATCCCCCAGCCATTCTTTTAGCAATCTTTTAACATGGGTGCACTTCAACTCCCAGAATCCCCCAGCCATTCTTTCATCAACCTTTTAAGATGGGTGGACTTCACTCCCAGAATTCCCCAGCCATTCTCTTGCCAACTTTTTAAGATAGATGCACTTCAATTCCCATAATTCCCCAGTCCATTCTCTTGTCAACTTTTTAAGAGGGGTGGATTCCAACTCCCAGAATCCCCCAGCCAGTATAGCTAGGGAATTCTGGGAGTTGAAGTCCACCCATCTTAAACTCGGCACGGTTGAGACGCATCGTGCTGTAAGCGACGGTGAACCAAGAAACGAAACACCAACGGATTGTGTGGTTTTTTTTCATCGCCATTACAAATTCTTTATTTATTTTTTTTAAATCAGCGGGAAGGAAGACGGCAGGAGAAACCTGGAATGACAGGAAAGCTAGGGGAGATCCAGAAGAAGACACACTCGAGAGCCAAACTTCTGGAGAAGATTAATCCGGAAACAGCAGGAAGCCGGAGAAGACGCTGTCGGCTCCGGCCACGCCGACCATCCCGTTGTAATCGTTGACCGCCAACCAAACCTGGTGGCCGGCTTGCAGCTGAAGCAAGACGCCGCCGGAGCTGACTTGCTTGGGGTTGGAGAGGTGGTCGCAGAAACTGGCCATCCGTTCCCGATTGCGGTACAGGTTGACGCAAAGGTTGGACGTCAAGGAAGTATGGAAGACGAAGTAGTAGATGCCGGGGATACGGCAGGTGAATTTGCCCGTGGTCGTGTCGTAATCGTGGTAGGTATTGGTGACGTTACCGTGGAAGACCACGGGAGCGTTCTTCACCGGATGCTCGTGGGTCTGGCGCTTGACGGTGAAGGCGGATTGGTACATGAGCTTGTGACCGCCGGGGTCACCGGATTCCCCTCGTTCGCCTTTGGGACCGACGTCTCCTATGCTTCCGGAGGCACCCCGGGGTCCACTTTTACCTGGCAAACCAGGAAGACCTGGAGAACCTGCCTCTCCCTTGGGTCCGTGGCTTCCAGGGGCGGCTGGAGGACCTAGAGATATGGGAGAACGTGGGTTAGAAGCAGGAGAGCATCATCGAAGTAGGTCTTCAATGTACAATCGTTCGTTTAACAGAGTAAGGGAGCTGGAAGGGACCTTGGAGGTCTTCTAGTCCAACCCCCTACTCATGCAGGATACCCTGGACCATTTCAATCAATGAAGGAATGAATCCATCCATCCATCCATGAGAATAGAGCTGGTAGGGACCTTGGATGTCTTCTACTCCAATCCCCTGTTCAGACAGGAGAACCTATCCCATCTCAATCAGTGAAGGAATCCATCCATCCATCCATCCATCCATCCATCCATCCATCCATCCATCCATGAGAATAGAGCTGGTAAGGACCTTGGATGTCTTCTACTCCAATCCCCTGTTCAGACAGGAGAACCTATCCCATCTCAATCAGTGAAGGAATCCATCCATCCATCCATCCATCCATCCATCCATCCATCCATCCATCCATTAGAATAGAGCTGGTAAGGACCTTGGATGTCTTCTACTCCAATCCCCTGTTCAGACAGGAGAACCTATCCCATCTCAATCAGTGAAGGAATCCATCCATCCATCCATCCATCCATCCATCCATCCATCCATGAGAATAGAGCTGGTAAGGACCTTGGATGTCTTCTACTCCAATCCCTGTTCAGATAGGAGAACCTATCCCATCTCAATCAGTGAAGGAATCCATCCATCCATCCATCCATCCATCCATCCATCCATCCATCCATCCATCCATGAGAATAGAGCTGGTAAGGACCTTGGATGTCTTCTACTCCAATCCCCTGTTCAGACAGGAGAACCTATCCCATCTCAATCAGTGAAGAATCCATCCATCCATCCATCCATCCATCCATCCATCCATCCATCCATCCATCCATTAGAATAGAGCTGGTAAGGACCTTGGATGTCTTCTACTCCAATCCCCTGTTCAGACAGGAGAACCTATCCCATCTCAATCAGTGAAGGAATCCATCCATCCATCCATCCATCCATCCATCCATCCATCCATGAGAATAGAGCTGGTAGGGACCTTGGATGTCTTCTACTCCAATCCCCTGTTCAGATAGGAGAACCTATCCCATCTCAATCAGTGAAGGAATCCATCCATCCATCCATCCATCCATCCATCCATCCATCCATGAGAATAGAGCTGGTAAGGACCTTGGATGTCTTCTACTCCAATCCCCTGTTCAGACAGGAGAACCTATCCCAACTCAATCAGTGAAGAAATCTATCCATCCATCCATCCATCCATCCATCCATCCATCCATCCATGAGAATAGAGCTGGTAAGGACCTTGGATGTCTTCTACTCCAATCCCCTGTTCAGAGAGGACAACCTATCCCATCTCAATCAGTGAAGGAATCCATCCATCCATCCATCCATCCATCCATCCATCCATCCATCCATCCATCCATCCATCCATGAGAATAGAGCTGGTAGGGACAAATGGTTGTCCAATCTCTTCTTAAAACACTCCAGTGATGGAGCAACCCACAACCTCTAGTGGCAAGCTGTTCCGCTGGCTAATTGTCCTCACTGTCAGGGAATTTCTCCTTAGTTTTAGGTTGCTTCTCTCCTTGGTGAGTTTCCATCCGTTGCTTCTTGTCCTGCCTTCAGGGGCTTTGGAGAATAGATGGACCCCCTTCCCCTCTTCTTTGGGGCAGCCCCTGAGATTTTGGGTTTGGGGTTTCTTGAACTGAATAATGTCACTTCTGTCCCTCGTTTTTCCACCTATTTTTCCCCTTAATTTCTTTCGAGCATACTCAATAATAATAATAATAAATGGCCATAACAAAGTGGCAGAGAGGGGCATCCAGATTTGAAAAAAAAAAACAACCATCAGATTCACCCAGATCATTACTAACCTGGTTCTCCTTTTGGTCCCCTGTTTCCATCTCGGCCATCTTTCCCCGGTGGTCCTGGGACTCCGGGGAGACCCGGTGCCCCGTAGCAATAGTTTGGGGGATCTACAGCCCAGGTGAGATCTCCCAGGATCAGAAGGAGGAAGGCCCAGACCAACATCCTCACCGATGTCCTGTCCATCCTGCGGGGAGATCGAATCAAGCCATGGTTTGCAAATGCAGCGACTTTTAAGACGTGTGGACTTCAACTCCCAGAATTCCCCAGCCGGCAAGTCCCAGAATTCCTTAGCTAGCGTGCTGGCTGTGGAATCCTGGGCATTGAAATCCACATGCCTTAGGATGGCTAAAGTTGAGAAACATTAGAAAAGGAAAGTTGACTGGGATGGGTTAAGAAGTTTCTAATAATAATAAGAGGAGGAAAGGAAAAAGAGGAGAAGGGAAGGAAAGGAAGGAAAGGAAATGAGGAAGAGGGAAGGGAAGAAGGGAAGGGAAGAAAGGGAAGGAAAGGAGGAAAAGGGAAGGAGGAAGAGGGAAAGAAAGGGGAGGAAAGGAAGATAGAAGAAGGGAAGGAAGGGAAGGAAGGAAAAGAAAGGAAGAAGGAAGAAAAGGAAAGTGGAAAAGGAAAAGGGGAGAAGGGAAGGGAAGAGAAGGGAAGGGAAGGAGGAAAAGAAAGTGGAAAGGAAAGGAGGAAGAGGGAAGGAAAGGAAAGGAGGAAGAAGGAAGGAAAGGAAAGTGGAAAGGAAAAGAAAGGAAAGGAGGAAGAGGAAGGAAAGGGAAGAAGGAAAGGGAAGGAAGGAGGAAGGGAAGGGAAGGAAAGTGGAAAGGAAAGGAAAGAAGGAAAGAAAAAGAAAGGAAAGGAGGAAGACGGAAGGAAAGGAACGAAGGAAAGGAAGGTGGAAAGGAAAGAAGGAAGAGGGAAGGGGAGGAAGAGGAAAGGAAGATAGAAGAAGGGAAGGGAAGGAAAAGAAAGGAAAGGAGGAAGAAGGAAGGAAAGGAAAGAAAGAAGAGGGAAGGGAAGGGAAGGAAGAAAAGAAAAAGGAAAGGAAAGGAAAGGAGGAAGAAAAGACATGGACAAACAATTCACTTCTTTGCACAACGGTGTTTTCCTTCTCCCACCACGCAGCTTTTCCTTTCAACTCCATCTTTTTCAGGAGCCTCCAAAAATAGAGGCAACCTGATTTTTCTTCCCCAAAGCTCAACCCTTCAGCCTCACGGGGGGGTTATAATTGTCAAGAATACATTAAGAATAAATTCATTTATTCATTCATCTGCCAATCACCCCCTTCCCAAATTCTGCTGGCCTCCCCCGGGTTTTCTTTCAGAGGAACTCGATGCTGTGTCTTTCCCAGAACGAAGGAATTATTTCCTGAACCTTGGAAGAAAGAAAGAAAGAAAGAAAGAAAGAAAGAAAGAAAGAAAGAGAAAGAAAGAAAGAAAGAAAGAAAGAAAGAAAGAAAGAAAGAAAGAAAAAGAAGGGAGTGAGAGAGAGAGGGAAGGAAGGAAGGAGAGAGGACAGAAAGAAAAGAGAAAGAAAGAAAGAAAGAAAGAAAGAAAGAAAGAAAGAAAGAAAGAAAGAAAGAAGAAGGCAGGTAGAGAAGGAGTGATGGAAGGAATGAAAAAATAAAGAAAAAGGAGTGAGAGAGGGAAGGAAGGAAAGAGAGAAGAAAGAAAGAGGGAAGAAGGCAGATAGAGAAGGAGTGAAGGAAGGAATGAAGGAAAAGAAAGAAAGAGAGAAGGAAGTGAGAGAGAGATGGAAGAAAGGAGAGAGGAAAGAAAGAAAGGGAAGAAGGCAGGTAGAGTTGGAGTGATGGAAGGAATGAAAAAATAAAGAAAAAGGAGTGAGAGAGGGAAGGAAGGAAAGAGAGAAGAAAGAAAGAGGGAAGAAGGCAGATAGAGAAGGAATGAGGGAAGGAATGAAGGAAAAGAAAGAAAGGGAGTGAGAGAGAGAAGGAAGGAGAGAAGAAAGAAAGAAAGAAAGGGAAGAAGGCAGGTAGAGAAGGAGTGAAGGAAGAATGAAGGAAAGGAAAGAAAGAAAAGCGTGAGAGGGAAGGAAGGAGAGAGAGGAAAGAGAAAGAAAGAAAGAAGAAAGAAAGAAAGAAAGAAAGAAAGAAAGAAAGAAAGAAAGAAAGAAAGAATTCTAGGTGGGGTCTCTTACCTCTCAGAGACTCGGTGGGATCCTAGCAGGTCTGCAGGCAACGGGAATTAATGAGTCTCCGGCTAGCTCAGGGCAGAAGAATTGCCTTGCCACATCATCAGATTTGACGAGGAAGTTGATAGTCCCCAAAAGAGCAAAATAAGGAACTAGTCCACTCCGTTTTGTGCGTCTCTGTTGAATCTAAAACCTCAGCAATCGAGGCTTCCCCTGCCTTGCAACCAGATATTTTCAATCTCCCCCCTCCCAGGACGAGAACGGCAGAGATTTAGCTGAAAGTCTCGATTCGGCTAGGAAAACTCTCGCCGTGGCCTACCTCCTAGGGTTGATGTGAAGGTATAAGCCTGAGCAGGGGGTTGGACTAGAAGACCTCCAAGGTCCCTCCCAGCCCCTATGTTCTAAGATCAAATGGGGGCAGCAGAGAATGTCTTGGCCCCACAAGGAGGAACGGAATGGCGTAGAATCACAGGGCTGGAAGGGCACCCCAGAGGCCATCTAGTCCACCCCCTGGTCCAAGGCAGGAGACCTTATACCATCCCAGACTACACAGTTGTCCAATTGTTTTGTTTTTTAAAAAAAGCCCTCCAGCAACGAAGCCCCCACAACTCCAGAAGACGGCTGTTTCATTGATTAGTCAAGAGATAAATATTTATTAAAGCAGTCTGTAATAGGGCCGGTGCTTCTAGGTCGAATCGATTATTTAATTAATTTTAATATCAGACGATTATGGAGTGATTATTATAGGCCTGAGGTTGATCTTGCTGAGAGGTCTGGTTTATTTGTTTGTTTGTTTTTTTCTATTAGAGAAAGTATCTACATTGAACAGAATAACAGAGTTGGAAGGGACCTTGGCGGTCATCTAGTCCAACCCCCTGCTCAAGAAGGAAACCCTAGATCATATCTATCTATCCATGCATCCATCCATCCATCCATCTATGATCTATCTATCTATCTGTCTATCTCGATCTATTCCATCCATCTATCCATCTATCCATCTATCTATCTATCTCAATCTATTCCATCCATCCATCCATCCATCCATCCATCTCGATCTATCTATCTATCTATCTATCTATCTATCTATCTATCTATCTATCTATCTATCTATCTATCTATCTGTCTGTCTGTCTGTCTTGATCTATTCCATCCATCTATCTATATCCATCTATCCATCTATCTATCTCGATCTATTCCATCCATCTATCCATCTATCCATCTATCTATCTATCTCGATCTATTCCATCCATCCATCCATCCATCCATCCATCTCGATCTATCTATCTATCTATCTGTCTGTCTTGATCTATTCCATCCATCTATCTATATCTATTTATCTATCCATCTATCTCGATCTATTCCATCCATCCATCCATCCATCTATCCATCTATCTACCTACCTATCTATCTATCTATCTATCTATCTATCTATCTATCTATCTATCCATCCATCCATCCATCTATCCATCTCGATCTATCTATCTATCTACCTATCTATCTATCTATCTATCTATCTATCTATCTCGATCTATTCCATCCATCTATCTATATCTATTTATCTGTCCATCTATCCATCCATCCATCCATCCATCCATCCATCCATCCATCCATCTATCTGTCCATCCATCCATCTATCCATCTATTCATCTATCCATCCATCCATCCATCTATCTATCCATCTATCCATCCATCCATCTATCTATCCCATCCATCCATCTATCCATCTATCCATCTATCCATCCATCCATCTATCTATCCATCTAACTGTCCATCTATCCATCTATCCATCCATCCATCCATCTAACTGTCCATCTATCCATCTATCCATCCATCCATCTATCCATCCATCCATCCATCCATCTATGAGCATGTAGGTGGAAGGGACCTTGAAGGTCCTCTAGTCCAACCCCCTCCTCAGGCAGGAGACCCTGGATCATTCCGGAAAAAAGGCTGTCTAGTCTCTTCTTGAAAACCTCCAGAGACGGAGCCTTTATTGGTGTCTGGAAGAGAGTTACAGGGGTGTGTTGACCGCTGATTTCGGGCTGTATTCCTCGTGGTCTTCTCCAGGAAGAAATTCTGAAAATGGAATCTTAAAATCCTAAACAATGGAAGGGTCGGAAGGGAGCTCGGAGGTCAACTAGTCCACCCCCTGCCTGCCGTGACAGCATCCCTGACAGCGTTGCCACCGCCTGTAAAAAACGAGCTTTTGCCATCAGGACATTTGATCTGATCTCTCCTCCCCTCCTAAAACTGCTATTTTTATGTCATTTCGTAGAAAGCCAGACTGGTAGAGCCGAAGGGACCTCGGGGGGTCATCCAGTCTAACCCCACGCAGGAATTCGAATTAGGTTATAAAATCCGTGGAAAAATTAAAATAAAATCCGTGGGGGAAAAAAAAAACAGCTGTTCCAGACGATGTGTACTCTTTTCATTCGAGTGTTTCTCCACTTACGACTGTTCATTTAAGAACGGTTTGCGGAGTTACTACCGTGCTAAAGAAAGGGACTTAGGACTTGGTCTTCATGCTTGGCAACAGGTCTGTAGAGCCTCCCTGTTCCAAGGCAGTATATCTGTACAGTTGCAGAGGGGGAGTTCGGAGGATTTTGTTTGGATCAAGAATCAACTTTGGAAAAATTCATTTTTTTTTTTAATTTAGTGCTAAAGGAAACCAGTCCTGATACCCCCTTCCCCAGACCACTGAACAGGTGGATGGGTTTTGGGATCCTCCCTCCCTCCTTTCTTCCCTTCTTCCCTCCTTTCTTTTCTTTCTTTCTTTTCTTTCTTCCTCCTCCCTCCCTCCCTCCCTCCATTTTTCCTTCCTTCCTTCCCTCCTGCCCTCCCTCCTTTCTTTCTTTCTTTCTTTCTTTTCTTTTCTTTCTTTCTTTCTTTCTTTCTTCTTTCTTCCCTCCTTCCTTCCTCCCTTCATTTCCTCCCTCCCTCCTTTCCTCCTTCCCTTTCTTTCTTTCCTTCTTTCTCTTTCTTTCTTTCTCCCTCCTTCCCTCTCCTCCTTCCCTCTCCTCCTTCCCTCCCTCCATTTTTCCTTCCTCCCTCCCACCCTCCTTTTTTTTCTCCCTCCCTCCCTCCTCCTTCCTTCCTTTCCTCCTTTCCTCCCTCCCTTTCTTTCTTTCTTCCTCCCTTCCTCCCTCCCCCCTCCCCCATTTTTCCTTCCTCCCTCCCTCCCTCCTTCCTTTCCTTCCTCCCTCCCTCCTCCTTCCTTCTTTTCCGCCTTTCCTCCCTCCCTTTCTTTCTTTCTTTCTTCTTCCTCCCTCCCTCCCTCCCTTTCTTCCCTCCCTCCTTTTCTTTCTTTCTTTCTTTCTTTCTTTCTCTTTCTTCCTTTCCTCCCTCTTTCCCTCTCCCCTCCCTCTATTTTTCCTTCCTCTCTCCCTCCCTCCCTCCTTCCTTTCCTTTCCTCCCTCCCTCCCTCATCCCCTCCCTCCCTTCCTTCCTTCCTTTCCTTTCCTTTCCTCCCTCCCTCCCTCCCTCCCTCCCTCCCTCCCTTCCTTCCTTCCTTCCTCACCAAAAAAGCAAAACCCAAAGAATGAACACGTGTTGACGGGGACAATAATCTCCTGAGGGCCCCTCTCCCCTCTCCCCCTCCCCACCCTATAAGGACCTCCGAAAGACGTGGGGTGAGGCCCACCGAAGTGAAATCACCACACCGCCAAACCGCGTTTGCCTTTTCAATCTTGACAAGATTTTATTGGGCAGCAAGAAGGATCCGCCCCTCCACGGAGGAAACACCGGACACCCCCCCACACCTGTCGTTCGAGGGGACCCGTCCTCCCTCGCAGGGGTAGCGTAGGCGAGCAAAGCATTGCATTCAACCCGCTCCTTGAGCTCGATCAAGCCTTGGTGGGGAACAGGAGGAAGCCGCTGAAGACGCTGTCGGCATCCGTCTCGCTGTAGATGCTGGCCGCACCTGGCGGGTTGCTGTCCAGCCACACCTGGTCTCCTGGAGCCAGGTTTAGGACGCTGCCCCCCGAGTTGACCTGCAGGAGACCCTGGCTCTGGTCGCAGAAGGTGGCCACCGCACTGTCCCGGTGCATCAGATCCAGACACAGGCTTCCTTTGGAGACCACCTGAAGGTGAAATAATAATACCCCGGAACCCTACAGGTAAATTTCCCCGTCTGGGTACTGTAGGCGTTATCTTGGTTAGTGATGCTGTGGTCGAAAACCACGGTTTTGGGGGACAGGCCGGAGAAGGGTTCTTGCGAGAAGCCGAGAAGGCGGTCTTGGGCTGATCTTGGATGTTTCCGACTTGGCCCTTCGGACCCCTGTCCCCCACTTCTCCAGGGGGTCCCGGGGGCCATCCGGACCTCGAACCCCTTGGTTTCCTGGTTCTCCCGAAAGACCGGGATCCCCAGGTTCGCCTTTCGGGCCCCCGGATTCCGCTGCTCCGGGTCCCCAACCCTGGAAAGGAAAGAAGAAAGAGAGAGAGAGAGAGAAAAAAAAATTGAGGGAGGTGCGTAAGGGCCCCTCGGAGGTCCTCTAGTCCAACCCCGTTGGAGCAGAGTCGGAGGGGGTGATTTTTCTTTACCTGGGGCGCCCATGTCTCCTTTTTGGCCTGCTCTTCCGTTCCGCCCAGGGGCTCCCGGGTGCCCGTCTCTGCCTTTGGGCGCTTGGCAGACGTTTTGCTGGGAAATCACGCTATGCGACATCAGGATCAGGGCCGCCACTGCAAACCACAGGGGGCTCGCCATGTTGACTCTGTAACCATGAGCAAAAAAGTGGGTGAGAGACCCTCATTCCCCCCCCCACTCCAATTTTTTCTTCTTGAGGAGGGAAGGGGGGAATTGCCCACCTCCCAGGAGCTTCTCGCACGCCGCGAGCGACAGAAAACCGTTTTTCAAGGCCTCCCGTTTGCAATGCCGGGCGATTTAATTTTCTGGGCAAGCCGCTTTTTGAGTTACGAAGAAGACTAGAAAGGGAAGCCCCGTTGGTCTGGAATGGGTCTGGGGGTCTCCTGCTTGAGCAGGGGGTTGGGCTGGATGACCTCCGAGGTCCCTCCCCATATTGTTATTCTGTCATTCTGTCTATCTGACATTCTATCATTTTGTCGTTCTATTATTCTGTCATTCTATTATTTTGTCATTCTATTATTCTGTCATTCTACTATTCTGTTATCCTATTATTTGTCATTCTATTATTCTGTTATTCTGTTATTTTGTCATTCTGTTATTCTGTCATTCTATTATTCTGTCATTCTATTATTCTGTTATTCTGTAATTTATTATTCTGTTATTCTGTCATTCTATTATTCTGTCATTCTATTATTTTGTCATTCTATTATTCTGTTATTCTGTAATTTATTATTCTGTTATTCTGTCATTCTATTATTCTGTTATTCTGTCATTCTATTATTCTGTTATTCTGTCATTCTATTATTCTGTTATCCTATTATTTTGTCATTCTGTTATTCTGTCATTCTATTATTCTGTTATTCTGTCATTCTGTTATTCTGTAATTTATTATTCTGTTATTCTGTCATTCTATTATTCTGTCATTCTATTATTCTGTTATTCTGTAATTTATTATTCTGTTATTCTGTCATTCTATTATTCTGTTATTCTGTCATTCTATTATTCTGTCATTCTATTATTCTGTTATTCTGTAATTTATTATTCTGTTATTCTGTCATTCTATTATTCTGTCATTCTATTATTTTGTCATTCTATTATTCTGTTATTCTGTAATTTATTATTCTGTTATTCTGTCATTCTATTATTCTGTCATTCTATTATTCTGTCATTCTATTATTCTGTCATTCTATTATTCTGTTATTCTGTAATTTATTATTCTGTTATTCTGTCGTTCTATTTTTCTGTTATCCTATTATTTTGTCGTTCTGTTATTCTGTCATCCTATTATTCTGTCATTCTATTATTCTGTTATCCTATTATTTTGTCATTTTATTATTCTGTTGTTCTATCATTCTGTCACTCGGTGTGAAAAGGTTTCCTGCTTAAGCAGGAGGTTGGACTAGAAGACCTCCAAGGTCCCTTCCAACTCTTATTCTGCTATGTTCCACTAAGCAAAAGAAGACACCAACTTACTACAGAGTTTTCCAACCTTAGTTTCTGTGATTTACACAGGGAACAGCCCAGAAATGAAATAATAATAATAATAATAATAATAATAATAATAATAATAATAATGAGGAGGAGGAGGAGGAGGAGGAGGAGGAGGAGGAGGAGGAGGAGGAAGGAGAAGGAGAAGGAGAAGGAGAAGGAGAAGGAGAAGGAGAAGGAGAAGGAGAAATAACAAGGGGTCTTTGGAAGATCTGCAAGAAACACCATCTTGTCTGCCAGCAAGAACTGGTGGGACCCCAAAACAAACAGAAACAGAAGAAACTAAAATTTGAAATCCACCCCTCTTCAAGCTATCAAGATGACCTCACAAGGTCCCTTCCAACTCTTGTTAAATCTGTTCAAAAGGTTGAGAAACCTGGATCTTGCTGGGCAGAAAATCCAGGAGAACCTCAACCGCTTTCAAACGGAGGGGACCTCCGCGGCAACCATCTCTTGGGTGAACAAGCAGGATTGTCCCATCAGAACAGGGCCTAAAAGGGCCACGTTAGGGGGGGAATCATCCTTGAAATTGAATCAAAGACTCTCCGGGAAGGAGACTCCGAAAATGACCACTTACCTCCTTGGGGGGAAAAAAAAGACCAGATCCCGACTAGATTTCTGGAGACGAATGTCTCACTTGGCTGGGTGCAGGAAGGACGACGGGACCGGACGGAGGAGAGTCCCAGATGGCCAAATTTGGCTGACTAAGAAAAAAAATTGAAGTTTCCCTTCCTACTTTTCTCCTTTCGATTGCTTCCTCTTTCTGGCAGCCCACACCGGCCGCAAACAAATTGTGACTTTTGAAATAGAGAGGTTGTGGACATTGTCTTCCTTTCCAAGGGGAACTCATCACATTTGCAGATGACACCAAGCTGGGGGCGAATCGATCGCCCCTACTTTAGTACCTTGTTTCCCGAAAATAAGACTGGGTCTTATATTTAATTTTTGCTCCAAAAGATTCATTAGGGCTTATTTTCTGGTTAAGTCTTATTTTAGTAATAGCAATAGCCCTTAGACTTATATACCGCTTCATACTGCTTTTACAGCCCTCTCTAAGCAGTTTAAAGAGTCAGCCTCTTGCCCCCCAACAATCTGGCTCCTCATTTGACCCACCTCGGTAGGATGGAAGGCTGAGTCAACCTTGAGCCTGGTGAGATTCGAACTGCCAAATTGCAGGTAATCAGCAGAAGTCACCTGCAGTACTGCACTCTAACCACTGCACCACCGAGGCTCATTTTGGGGGGGAAATATGGTACTAAATGCACCCATCTGGTTGACAAGCTTAACTGGAGCTTAATTTGGGGAGTAGGGCTTATATTATGAGCATCTGGCTTGAACTGATGAGATTTTATATGGGTTTTTAACTTTTATCTGGTTTAATTAGGTATTTTAACTTTGTATGGTGGTTATTGTGGATTTTATTGTTGTGATCCGCCCTGAGTCCATTGGAGATAGGGCAGCATATAAGTTAAATAAAATAAATAAAATAAATAAATCCTGAAAACTCATGCTAGGGCTTATTTTTGGGTTACTTAGGTCTTATTTTGGGGAAAATACAGTACTAAATGCATCCATCTGGCTAAGAATCTTAACTGGGCTTATTTTGGGAGTAGGGCTTATATTACGAGCATCCGGCCTAGACTGATGGGGTTTTATATGGCTTTTTAACTTTTATCTGGTTTAATTAGGTATTTTAACTTTGTATGGTGGTTATTGTGGATTTTATTGTTGTGAGCCGCCCTGAGTCCGTTGGAGATAGGGCGGCATATAAGTTAAAGAAAATAAATAAATCCTGAAAACTCATGCTAGGGCTTATTTTTGGGTTGCTTAGGTCTTATTTTGGGGGAAAATACACTACTAAATGCACCCATCTAGGTGAGGATCTTAACTGGGGCTTATTTTGGGAGTAGGGCTTATATTACGAGCATCCTGAAAACTCATGCTAGGGCTTATTTTCTGGTTGGTTGGGTCTTATTTTCGGGGAAACAGGGTAGATAGGCTCAAGAGCCAGAAGGATATTGAAAGACACGAGCATCGGCATAATACCACTTTATAAGGCCTTGGTAAAGCCACACTTGGAATATGGCGTCCAGTTTTGGTCACCATATTATAAAAAAAGATGTGGAGACTCTGGAAAGAGTGCAGAGAAGAGCCAACAAAGATGATTAAAGGTCTGGAGGCTAAAACATACGAAGAACGGTTGCTGGAATTGGGGATGTCTAGTTTGATGAAAAGAAGGACATGATAGCATCTTCCAATATTTGAGGGGCTGCCCCAAAGAAGAGGAGGGTCCACCTATTCTCCAAAGCACCAGAAGGCAGCAGAAGAAGCAACGGATGGAAACTAACCAAGGAGAGAAGCAACCTGGAACGAAGGAGAAACTTACTGACAGTGAGGAGAATTCATCAGTGGAACAACTTGCCACTAGAAGATCTCCATCACTGGAGGTTTTCAAGAAGAGACTGGACAGCTTTTTGTCCAGAATGATATAGGGTTTTCTCCTGCTTGGAGAGGGGCTGGACCAGAAGACCTCAAAGATCCCTTCCAGCCTCACAGTTCTATGTTCCTAGAATAAAATAGAATTAATATCTGGTTATGTTTCCTGTCCGGTCCATCAGATATGGTTGATATTAATCTTGTTAAATACAATTATGCACCCTCCACCTCCTTTACAACTTAAGAAACTAGGGAGGGTGTCTTTCCATTATGTAGCTGAGGGCTACGCGGTCTCTTATCTTGCAAAGCTACACGAACAGACTCCTGCAAAGTTTGACATCCCTCCGTCTTATTTTGAAGACGAAGTCTTGCACGTCCATTAGCGCGCACGAAATACGGGCAAGCGAAACCCCGATGGAAAGCATCTCGCTGAATAAAGCGAATTTTCATCCTCGGTTGTTATTATTATTTTAATTGCTGTCTTCTGACCGGTTTTGCTGAAGCAACAATAAAAGCCACACATCGTCTTCTGCTTTTTTTTTGGCTGGGAAAAAAAAAGAAAAACACGCTCCTTCCTTCTTTCGAGCCAGCCAATTTTCATCACTTGGCAATTTTTATTTATTTATTATTTTTTTACATTCGTGCGACCAGATAGAGATAAATTAAAGCGCCCGACAGTTTCGGGAAATTTTTTTTTTAAAAAAGGGAAGAGGAGGCTTTAGGAAGTGGGGAGGGGGGGGGAATGTCCTGCAAACTTCTCTTCCGTTTTTTTTGTGGGTCAAACCTCCGGGGTTCCTGGGCGAGATCAGCTTAAGAGTGACTTTGTGTACCCCTGGGAAAAGAGGAACACACAACGGGCGCTGACCGTGTGCGGATGGCAAAGTCGCAAAGCCTGACCGTTGAAATCAGGGAGCAAATGCTATTCAGCCCCCAGTAAAAATAATCCAGCGGTTTTCTTTTATGTTTTAAATTTTATTAAAAATAAATTAAGGGAAGGGAAGGGAAGGGAAGGGAAAGGAAAGGAAAGGAAAGGGAGAAAGAAGGGAAAGGAAGGAAGGAAGGAGGGAGAAGGAAGGAAAGGAAGAGAGAAAGGAAAGGAAAGGAGGTAGAGGGAAGGGAAGGAAAGAAAGAAGGAAAGGAAAGGAAAGGAAAGGAGGAAGAGGGGAGGGAAGGAAGGAAGAGAAGGGAAAGGAAAGGAAAGGAAGAGAAAGAAAGAGAAAGAAAGGGAAAAGAAAAAAGGAGAGGGAAGGGAAAGGAAAAGAAGATATAAAAGGGAAGGGAAGGAAGAAGGGAAGGGAAGGGAAAGGAAAGGAAGAGAAAGAAAGAGAAAGAAAGGGAAAAGAAAAAAGGAGAGGGAAGGGAAAGGAAAAGAAGATATAAAAAGGGAAGGGAAGGAAGAAGGGAAGGGAAGGGAAGGGAAGGGAAGGGAAGAAAGGAAAGGAAAGGAAGGAAAGGAAAGGAAAGGAAAGGAAAGGGAGAAAGAAGGGAAAGGAAGGAAGGAAGGAGGGAGAAGAGAAGGAAAGGAAAGAAAGAAAGGGAAAGGAGGTAGAGGGAAGGGAAGGGAAGGAAAGAAAGAAGGAAAGGAAAGGAAAGGAAAGGAAAGGAAAGGAAAGGAAAGGAAAGGAAAGGAAAGGAAAGGAGGAAGAGGGGAGGGAAGGAAAGGAAAGGAAAAGAAAGAAGGAGAGGGAAGGGAAAGGAAAGGAAGATATAAAAAGGAAAGGAAAGGAAAGGAAGAAGGGAAGGAAAGGAAAGGAAAGGAAGAGAAAGAAAGGGAAAGGGAAGGAGATAGAGGGAAGGGAAGGAAAGGAAAGAAGGAAAGGAAAGGAAAAGAGGAAGAGGGGAGGGAGGGAAGGAAGGAAGGGAAGGGAAAGAAAGGGAAAGGAAAGAAGGAAAGGAAAGGAAGATAGAAGAAAGGAAAGGAAAGGAAGATAGAAGAAGGGAAAGGAAGGAAGGGAAGGGAAAGAAAGGGAAAGGAAAGGAGGAAGAGGGAAGGGAAGGAAAGGAAAGAAGGAAAGGAAAGAAAGGAAAAGAGGAAGAGGGGAGGGAGGGAAGGAAGGGAAGGGAAAGAAAGGGAAAGGAAAGAAGGAAAGGAAAGGAAGATAGAAGAAAGGAAAGGAAAGGAAGATAGAAGAAAGGAAAGGAAGGAAGGGAAGGGAAAGAAAGGGAAAGGAAAGGAGGAAGAGGGAAGGGAAGAGAAGGTTAAAAATATAGTAACACCACCGAATCTTTTCCTGTTTTTGAATTCCCGCTTCATGCAATGGCATGGTTTTTCGGTCCAGCAGGAGGCGCTGTTTCTCTAAATTAGAAATGGTGATTTTTTTTAAAAAAAAATGTGTGTGTGTGTTTTTGTGTGTGTCGTGTGTTTTTGTGTGTGTTTGTGTGTGTGTAGGGGGGGAGGGAAAATTGATTCTCTCTCCCGCCGGTGACTTTTCTCTCCTTGTGGATTTCCTGCAGGATTCCCTAATGGAAAATCGTTAGATTCAGCATTAAAATCTCCTCAAAGAGGAGAATTTTGCCCTCCAGAAAAATTGGCCTTCGACGGCCTTGCGGTGTGTGTGTGTGTGTGTGTGTGTTTTGTGTGTGTGTGTGTGTGTGTGTCTGTTCCCAATCAGCCCCCTTCCCGTCCCACCGAGGTAAAAAAGATCAAAACAAGAACGGAAGTCTTTCTTTCCAAGAATGGAAACTCAGTTTTACGCCTGCAGACGTCTCTTCTTCAGCGCAGATCTGGATTCTATATCCTACAGGTAGTCCTCGAATTACGACCGTTCGCTGGACGATGCTTCAAAGATATGACAGCCCTGAAAAAAAAGGGGACTGATGATCGCTCCTCGCGATTATGACCTTCGCGGTATCCCCATGGTCCCGTCCAGCTCTATTCTGATTGATTGATTGATTGATTGATTGATTGATTGATTGATTGAAATGATCCAGGCCAGGGCCTCTTGCCTGAGCAAGGGGTTGGACTAGAAGACCTCCAAGGTCCCTTCCAGTTCTATTTTGATTAATGGGTGGATTCATGGATTGATTGAATGATTGAATGAATGAATGATTGAATGATTGATTGATTGATTGATTGATTGAAATGGTCTATGGTCTCCTGCTTGAGAAGGGGGTTGGACTAGAAGACCTCCAAGGTCCCTTCCGGCTCTATTCTGATTCAATCTCATTCATTCATTCATTTTCATTCATTCAATCTCATTGTACACATGTTGTACATTGACAATAAAGATTTGATTTGATTTGATTTGATTTGATTGACATGGTCCAGGGCCTCCTGCTTGAGTAGGGGGTTGGACAAGAAGACCTCCCAGGTCCCTT